TACAACTCCTTTCTCTTCTCTGACCACATCCTCTATCTCTCTTCCACTTCTTAATTAGATAGCTTCTATTTTTTTCATTATTGTTGTCTTTAGGGTTGATCTTAGTGTTGCATGAATTGTTCCTTGGGGTCTATTGCTAAGTGAATTAGCAATTTTTCCAAGTTGATTCTCTATGTTTCTAATTGCAGCATTTTGACTTTGCAACTGGTTTCCCATTTGCAATACCACTTCTTCTATAAACATCTTCTTATCCTCAAATTTTTTATCATTGTTAGAGTATGGTGGATATGAAAGTCTATAGTTTGTGTTCCCCTGATTATTCCAACTTCCATTAGAATTTGCATGATTATTTTCCCATTATTGGTTTCCACCCCAAGTAGTGTGATTCTAGTTAAAATTAGGATGTTTCTTCCAACCTGGGCTGTAAAAGTTAGAATGCGAGTTGTTTATGGTATTTAAAGTCTCATATGATAAGTTAAAATCAATAATATGCCCTAATGAACTTTCCTCACTTACTTGGTTCATTCTAAATGATATTGGAGCAACCTGAGATGCAAGAATTGCAATCGCATCTGTATCATGAACACTGGCTACATTTTTAGGATTTACCCTTATGGAGGGCCATTGAAATTCATTTGTAGTCATTTCTTCAATTAACGCATATGCTTCATTAAATGGTTTTGACATTAATGATCCACCAGCAGCAGCGTCTAAGAGATTCTACTAACCAATTGTAAAAAGTTTGAATGAATAACTAATTGGGCAGAGCATGGTGTGGACACTTTCTTAAAAGTTCCTTAAATCTTTCCTAAGCTTCATATATTGATTTCCCTTTATACTGACAAAATGAGATAATATCATTTCTAAGTTTAGTAGTCCTTGAAGGTGGAAAATACTTAGCTAGGAATTTTTGAGTTAACTCCTCCCAATTTTTAATAGAGACAGATGCTAATGAGTACAACGACTTTTAGACTTATCCCTTAATGAGAAAGGAAAAAAGTCTTAGTCTAACATCATCGTCTGACATGCCATTATAACAAAATGTAGCATAAAGTTCTAGAAAAAGTGATAAGTGTAAATAGGGATCCTCCGAAGAAGTTCCCCCAAACTGGTTGTTCTGCATCAGTTAGATAATATCTAGATTTATTTCAAATGAGCCAGCTTCTACGACAGAGGTTTGTATACTTGAGTGAATTTCATCTGTCGTAGGATTTATATAATCCCTCAAAAATTTATGATGATTTTCCAAGTTATTATTTTGAATGTTTTCCATTTCTATTTCTAGTTTTTCAAGTCCTTGTTTTTTGATTTTTCTCCTTTTTTCTAACTCAGGATCATAAAACAAAAGTCACGCGGATCCTTTATTTCACATACAAAACACAACAAACAAAATATTAACAATCAAAAAAATAAAATAAAACATATATTCAACACAACAAAATATTTTCACAAACACCTTGTTTTTTACACAAATAAGTTTTTTACAACATTTTTTCATGCAAAAAATAATTTTCACACAAAAACAGTTTTTGTGACACTACAATTTACGACACTACAGTTTTCCAAGTCTAAGCCTTATTACTTCAACTAAAATTCTCCTAAAGTTCTTACCGAAGTTTCCCCGGTAAAGGCGCCTAAAACTTGATGCGCCCCTAGCGTGTGTTGTTTTTGTGTGTGCTTTATGTCAATTCAATTCCCCCGAGACGGTGCCAAAAACTTGACCTGACCTGTAATTATGCAGTAATTTAGCTTTCAAAAGACAACGAAAAACTTCAAAAACAAGACAACGAAAAACTTGACCCAATTTATATTTAATGGCTAATATGCAAAAATGAAATGTTATAAAATATAGAAAATAATTCACACACTACGAGTTCCACGCAAGTGCACGTATCACTTCAAGTAATATAGGACTTTCTGATTAAGCCTCGAATATCGACCCCATGAGAAAGCGAAGTTTAAATTTGAAATGATAAATTAACTAGGAAATTCACAGAAATCAATTGAAATTACTGTCCTAATTTTGAATGTTTAAAATACTATCAAAGCTAAATTTATTTCCACTAGCAGAATTTAAAAGCAGGTTTTAAAATTAATAACTACTAAACTATGTTTATGTAATAAAGTTTTCTAATGTGAAAAAGCATCTTTCCCACTACAATGAGTTTTTTGTGAAATGATATAAGATAAATGGTTTAGATATGTATTGTGTCAAATATGAGCAATTTTGATTCTCTACCCTGATTCAGTGTCATAGAAAATTATTGGATAATCTTAGGTTTAGTCCCTAAATCCATGTCTAGGCTAGAAGGATATTGGCTCTAACTCCAGAGCTCCCACTTCTCTTCCCATGAAGGCTAACTCTCGCTTTAGTTTTTAAACACTAAGATCGAATTGAGGATTTTTAGTCTGTCACCCTAGAAATCTCCAATTCTACACCCAACAAAGTATATTTCCCTATTTATTTGCACTCAATCCCATGAATGAAATACTCCTTCATGGATTTAAATGTGATTCTTACTATGTTATAGAACTCATACTCCATTTCTGGATCATATGTTTTAAAACATATTTTAACAATTCAATTGGCCAGATCAAAAAGTAAATTAAGAGCGGAGTTGAAAAACTATCACAATTTCTAATTAAAACTTCTTCTAGCATGCATCCCAATATTCTAAACATGATTCCTACTCATTACAAAATAAACGTAAAAGGAAAATAATAACATAATTTTCTCATGCCACTATTTCCAAAAAAGAAGAAAGAGTAAGGGGAACACATCACAAAACACGAAAAAAAAACACAAAGAAAAACTTCAATAAATCAAAGCAAATTCACTAGATAAGTGTTTACAAAATCATAAGATAATGAAGAACACAATACTTAATTTTTTCCCCTTGAAAGAAAGATAAAAATCTCTCCCACAAAGTCTCCCGCTGATTCATGCAATGCTAGAATATTCCCTTACAGATTCTCTCAAAATCCCCTCACCAATCTCTCCAAAAGAGTAGAAATCTAAACATTCTTCATATTTTCTCACTCGCACACACAACTTTTTCTGACAAAAAAGCACTCTATTATAGTGTAGGAATGAATTCCCCAAGAGATGCCTCAAGCAACCTTCCAAAATGCATCCAAATACATCGAATCTTCTAGAAATTCACCTAGGATCGCATCCAAACAATCTCAGGCACTGTCGGCGCTATTTTGGTATCATTTTATGCACTATGGCGCTGTCAGCACCGGTTTTGGCTCCATAGGCTCCCACCCTACGCAACTCCACCATTTTGGTTCGTTTGGCTCCATTTTAGCTCTATTTCGTCCCGTTTTAGTTGTGTTGTGCTCCTAACAGATAGAACTATAAAATAAGCATAAAAATAACCTTCTTTTAAAATATAGTTTCATTCAAAATTGTGCGAGAAGTGTAAAAGAGATTAAGCATAGAAAGAAATTGAAATGTGTCAGGACAAAATTTTCTTTCTTGCTCGTTTTTGCTCCAATTTGTACCGTTTTTGCTTCTTTTTCTCCAAAACTCCATTTATTATCCCTGAAATCAAAAATATACAAAATACCTTCCTTTAAAGTGTAATATCATTAAAAATCATTAAAAATGAGCATAAAATACATATGAAAAAGTAGTCATTTTTTAGGTGTATCATTCGTTTAGTGCGACATAAATCATCACCTTATCTTTAGAACTTTGCATAATCATGTTGTGCAATATAAGCCTTAACTCGTTTTAGGATTCTGAGGTTGTCATTCGTCACGACATAAATCCTCACATTTTCCAGGCTAGTTGTGTGATCATCTCACACAAATGTAAACACTAACTAATAAAATCAGCAGGATGAAAAACTTAATAATATCTCATTGAGACTGAAGCTAAACTTTAGGATAGCTTGAGGAGTCACTGAGGTTCTCTTCAGGATCTGTGACATCTCCTACTTCTTCTTCCTTTGGATTCCAAAATAAATGTTCCAAATTTGAGTCCTTCCTATTTCACACCTCTTTGTCTGATCTTTAAAAAGTCCAATCCTTTTGAATTCTTGGAGACAATATTTTCTGATCAAAATTGAGAGTTTTCTTAAGTGACTTCGGTCATTTAAGATGTTATTGACTATAGGGGTTTGCCTCTATAGGGAGCTTTAAGAACCCAAGTAATATAAATCCTATCCAATCTCCCATATTAGATAAGGAGAACTTGTCGGCTTAGATAAATGGTTCGCAAACCAAAAAAATGTCATAAAATCTTTTTTTTTAATTAATCAAGCACCACCAGTAAGTAGTGTATTTATCCTTCGAGGTAGATATATTGCTTGTGGTGTTTTGCTCATTTATTTAAACTATTGCAGTTATGAAATCAGTTCGGTCTTGTATTTTCAAAAAATTAAAATATTACTCTTTTCTAAATTATATATATATATATATATTAAATTAAACATATTTTAAAATCGGGCGTCAGGATATCCATTCCGGCGGCTGACAATTTCTAACTTGGCAGACCGACAATACCACAAATTTTTGAAGAGGTTGTTCATGGTATGAATGAGGATGATGATGAGAATGAAGAAAAAAATTTAGGTTCATCTTCAACGGCGAGTTCTTCTGATGATACTTAATAACATATGTATGAAAATTTCAGATTAGTTGTTAATACTGCTACTTTAGTCTTTTACTTCTATTGTATTGAGGCATAGCACTTTACTCTCGCTTTTCCTATTTTTAGACATAGTTGTTACTTGTGTTTCACATTTTACTGCACCGTTTATTTTCTATATATGATTATTTTTACTACTAGTACTAATCTTTTAAATGTCATCTCTTTATTTGTAGATGGCCACATGAGATGCAAATGATCAGCCACCTCATAGACTCCATGTTCCGGTGATGAGACCACATACCGTAGGAGGAAGAGGAGTTTTTCTACTCGTGCCGCTAGTTCCACTACAGCTTCGCCTCATTAGATACCTCCGGACCAACCTGATGCTACTACACCTTCTATGGCACCTCCTCCCCCACTAGTTGTTGCTACATCTCTTGCATCACCTCCTCTCACACCCATTTTTATCACCCCTCCTGTGGCACCTGCTCCCGTACTCGATGCTGCCCCATCTCCTGTGAAGCTTGTTGCTTCAACACCTACTCCCCCACCTGCTATTAGCACAACTCTTGAGCCTGATCTATCGACTCCCCCCCCTCCTCCGATGGTATAATTACTGCAGAGGGGGACTCATAAGTTATTTTTAATATTGTTTTATGTTTATTTTTCATGCTATATGTTTTTTTTATAATTAATTTTATTAAGGAGATTCATTCCCTACAAACAGCCCGTCACTTGAATCGCATAGATTATCAGAAGCAGGA